AAGAGTTGGAATCCTGGGGAAGGTCTGATGCGTGCAGAAAACCGTCCGCGGCCAGAAGGAATGGAGGCCAAAACCGCCTGTTTTATGTCTTCTAATGGGCCATATTATAAAAGCTAAAGAGGCAGTGTTATTATCGCACGCAGGCAGCACTTTTGGCCGCGGCTAAGGTAAATAAAAAATTCAACACCGCGCGCAATAAAGGCGCAGTGAAATATCAATGAATGGATTATTACCGCCGTTTCGCCGACCATGTCCTGGGACAACAATAAAAATCTCACTTTCTATATCGACTGCTTCTTATGGCCTCTTAAGGTATAATAACATCGCTTTATGCCCTGCTCTAATGCGTTATTTTTATGTTACGACTCCTGCTCTCTCAAGGTTCCCACCGACCCCTCAAATTAGACAAATTTGATGACGCCGTAAAATGCCGTTGTGTGTGACGCAGATCAACACGAGTAAAGACGTATGACTTTGATAGAGATGATAATGAATTTCTTCACATGATTTTTTTTAAATATGTTTTTAAAAAAAGAAATCAAACCTTCTATATTTAGTGAGACTATTGTTAGTCTTAGGATAAAATTTTAGGTTGAAATTTGTGTGCTGACACAAGATTAGATGGAAGGGCCAGAATCGCGAAGGCGAATAAATTTACTTTTTTTTAAAGTTATGCGAAGAGCAACTAGAATAGTTGGGGAACAATCAAACGCTATACTAATGACTGAAATTTAACAATCTTAATCAGATTAAAAATGTAATAAAATATTTAATAAATACACATTACATGAGCTCTCCGGCACTGGTGCCAATTAAGCAATACTTATTTTCCTCTAATAGGAATAACTACGCATAATCTGCATTTATGCACTTATATTGTATTTTGAAGGCAAAAATAATGTAGCTTCTATAACTCTTCTTCATGTTATCTGACTATCAATGTGCAATAGAATGAAATTTAATTTTTTCTATCAAAATTAAAAAGATATAATTAAAATGATTAAAATAACTAAATGGTAGTAAAATTATTAAATTTTCAATCAATCAATAGTATTAAAATGATTAAAAATAACATGAAGTTAAATTTTAATATTGAAACTGGTATAAAGACAAACATTTTTATTTATGCAGATGAAAATATATTAATATTATTAGTAAGGTAAAGAAAAAATAGCTACAAGCATCAAATAAATTTTAAGGAAATTATTACAGCCGTCAAGGTATTAATTCATAAAATTTTTATAAAATCTTCTTTACAAACTACACTTCTTGAGAAAAATCCAGATAATTTCTAGTTACATTTTTTGCATCATTCTCACGGTGAAATTTTGTAGACCAAGCATTCTTTGCTGATCACGAGCCCCATAAATTTTAGGTGTCATCACAGAAAATTTAAAATGACAGCGATTCAGCCCGACAAAGAGCGCGGCGATAAAATTTATGTAGCGCAACGCATTATGGAAAAAGCCCCTGAAACTGAAAACATCGAGCGACAGTTTTTTTTTTCATCCAGTATACGAAGCAAAAGGTGAGTGTGCGAAGGCGTTTATTCTTTTTTATCGGGTGGGTCGAATGCCTGCTGGTGCATGTATGAAAAATCCGTCCATAAATTTGCCCACGCGTCACGGTCATAAAAGCGCCGTCCCGAGGGATGAAGTTGTCACACATTGCGATGCATTTTTTTCATAAACAGCTCGTAATTCCGGCGGAGAATGAATGGCGAGAGGCCTTTACGAGGTGTTTTCGCCTCTATATCTGAGTGAGAAAGAGCGAAATGAACTCTTAACAGTCCATAATGCGTGTCAGGCGGGCTGCATTTTTACGAGGCAATAATTTCGCTCGGCCTGTCCGGATCTCATATTGCAGCAGTGGGACCTGGAAAAAAAACACACACGTGTGTGTTATAATAATAGTCGGCGGGCGCTGCGGCTGCTGAAATATTGCGTATTTTAAAAGGGCTGCAAAGGGCGGGGCCCGCGGCGAAGGGCTGCCGGGGGTGGCTCAAGATTTAGCATGCACCATAACAACGTCGCAGGTCAGTGAAAAATGGCCCTGGGAAAGCCTCTTGTGGCGCACTTTTCTCAAACGCTCGCTCGATTTATTATTTTCTCCTTCTTTCCGCCTCAAAATTTCTTTTTCCCTCCTCGGTCCGTTGGGATGTGGAAAAGATAAAAAAAGAGTCTGCTGATCCCTGCAAGCTGCGGGAGGAAACGTGTCGCGAATCGCACTTGGGACATTAAAGGCATTGGAAAAGAGTGTTCAGCTGGTGCCACTTTCTGTTTCTTGGGGGAAACGGCACATAGGGGGCCCGAAGGGAAATTCTCTGGATGAAGAAAAAGCGCCACGCTGTTATCTGGAATAGATTATTCTATTCTCAATATTGTTGTCAGCCAGAATGGGAATGTCTGCGTTATGCCTACTTTTACTCAATGAAAAATATCATCTATAGGAGATAATCAACCTTTTAAACAATATAAAAATTGTTTTTGAACATGGATTTTCATTACTTTTTTATTAAAAAAAATCTTTATTTTTTCAGTTCTGTAAGTTTAAAACTAAAATAGTTATTTTTTTTTAAATTTTGCCCCAAAATTTAAATAATAGAGAATTTATTAAAATAAATAAACAGTGAAATAAAAATTATGAAATTTTGATAATCAAGTAATAAACCCAGATCTTCCAAGTAGTGTAATTCGCGCCCAGCAATTTCTGCGTGCTATGTATTTTTTTTAGAAAAGGCCCTTTGGGACGATTCAAAAGTCCGCTTCGTCGCTACTGCAAATTTCATCGTTTGTCCGGCAGCACCGCACATCGGCCATTGCTATGCCGGCGGCTACAAAACTGGATGCCATTAATCCTGTTTCATGGTGCGAAGAGGCACGCACGCAGAGTCAGATATAATTTCTGCAGGCGGAGGGTTGGTGTTGGTGTCGGTTGGCTGGTTGCATGCGTGCCGGCGGCGGCTCGGATCTCCATCAGGGCGCTGTATTTTCTCATCATCATCCCCCAACGCACTACTTCAAATCTCCCCCTTTGTATTACGTGATAAATTCATTACTTTGCTCATTCCACATCGCCTGAAATGGCTTTTATGAAAACTAATGTCGAGAGCTGTATTTTGTAATACATTTATGCCCCCGCCGGCGCACGTACGGTGCATTTGATGTCTCTTTATTTCGCCGCCGGACGAGTCAGTGGATTTTACAGAGCCGGATTGATGAGCAGAGAAGAGGAGCTGTAATTTGATTTGCTCGGCAAACTTCACTCGATTCGCCTCACGCTCGAATTAAATCGAGTTTGTTTGTCAAAAGCCAAGTGGGAGGAGAGCGTTTTTCGTACCAGAACAAATTTTATATGTAAATTTGACAAGGCGCATCTAATACGGGATGAAAAGTTAGTGCGGAAAGAGATTTACAAAGAGTCTTTTAAATAGCTTTTGAGATAAGAATGAGATTTGTGGCTTCATCAAATCTTTGTAACTCTTGTGGATTGGTCTGATGGTGAGATGAATAAAAATTTGGTTGAGATTTAACTAATAAAAAGTCATTATAATAGGATTTTAGGGTGCTGCTGCTGCTCAATTTTTACAAAAGTGTTCTGGTACTTAACAATTTACTTGTGCCACCTAGCAAAAGATATTATAAGAAAGATGGAAAATAGCGATTTCTAAATCGATTTTATTTTATTTTGCTTATACAATGAAATGAAATAATTTATTGCGAGTTAAAAGAAAAGAAGACAATTTGATTAGTTCCTTGATCAAGTTGATCATCAATATTTATGCTCTGATATACCGATTTATTAATTTGATAATTTAATTGATAAACTATTAAATGAAGCCAAGTGTCAAATAAGTTTTACCATTAATAGATTAATCTTGTTGAATTGACATTATTTATGTTATGGGTTCAAATTGTTCCAAAAATATTTGCATTGAAAGAACAAAAGTTGAAATTTTATAAACAAAGGAAAACTAGATTCTGCTCAAATTTCTGAAATTGAAATCAGCTACAGTCTATTTTTTTTCCATATTAGAGTGCCCTTTCAAATATATTTGAACAGACGGGAATGCAAAATTAAGCAAAATGAATAGGTGAAATGTCTCAAAGTTAACATAAAAAAACTCAGAAAATACCTTCCTCATTTTAAAAATAGAATAATTTAATTTCAAAATGTTTTCTGAGGCATGGAGTTTTTTTTTTTTGTGGCTGTATTTGTATTTTATTGCATGTTATGTAAGTGCTTAATGATGCACTATTAAATTATACATAGTAACAAGGCCAGAGATCAAAAACTGCTTTTCTGAATCGGCTTACAATGTATTAAATTTTAACGAGAGAGCTAATATTATTAACTTTTTTTTATATTTCATTGATTGAAACTGAAATACGTGTCGGACGGTCGTAAAACTCGGTGGAATCAGATTTATTGACCCATCATATAAAGCCATAAACCCCGAATGTGATTAACGAGCAATTTCGCAATATACTCCGGCAGCAATAATTAGGCTTGGCCGGAGTCATGTGTATTTATTTTGTATTATATGGTATGGAGAAGCCCATCGAAAGGGCTGCTTATTGCTTGTATACACAATGTGTACAAATTTATCAGTCGCAGACAGTTTTATGGGCAATTTATCCGGCAGGTCGGCGGTCGGGTCAGTGCAGATAAAACAATGGGCTGCCGTGCACGTCCACATTACATATAAAAGCAGCCCGTACATAGCAACACACACGGCGCGGCACACCGGCATTTTGCTGCTGGACAATAAATACATTTTTATAAATGTGAGTATGTCGAAATGCACGCTAACGGCCTGCTGCTTTTAATTCACGATAATTACGCTTTTGTACGAGCGGAATGGCCGATTTGCAGCGATGATATCAAAAAGGAGTGTGCGTTGTGTTCCTGGTATTGAGCCATGTGGGCAGATGTTTATTTTTTCAGCAAATCGCCGGCAAAAACCGCAACAAGGCACCGAGTGCACGTCGAGTTTTCAAGCAGCCGCCGACCAAAGAAGATGGAGAGCGTCGCTTCTTTTGAAGAAATTTGAGACAGAGGTAAACTTTTCGAGGCAATCGATCATATTTGGGGAGAGACAGAGCGGAGAGGGACGCGAGAGCGTTTATTAATGTTCCTGAGACCATTAGCTCTAATGAGAACGGTCTCTTGGAGAGCCGGGAAAATTCCTCGGGGTGGCGATAATTGACTCATCAGCGGCCCCGAAGCGTCGATTTCGTGTCTGTCTAAGCTCTTTGTTCATTTAGTCAAAGTTGGCGAAAGTCGTCAACGAGAGAGGGCTTTGCTACTCGTGGTGGCAACAAAGGGGTTGAAAGTAGCAAGAAAATGAGTAAAATAATTGGAATTACAAAAAAAGGTCAGTTCATGAAAAAGAAAGAAACTTATTTCCCCTTTATGCAAATTGAAACTTAAAAAAAAAATGTATCAAAAATTCAAGCGTTTATAATTATGTATCTTTTTTCTTATTTTCAAGATCATATAAAATTTAATGCATTTTTTAAGAGCTAAGTTGCTATAATTTAACTATTCTGAAAGCATTTTTCTAAATGCACATTTTCACAAAATTCTAGAATTCCTGTTATTCAATAACAGTAAAATAAATACTATTATTATTTTAATCAAACTACGTGAGCTTCAATTCTAGTTGCAATTAATGTTTAACTTACTGTTTAAGTAAGAATCAAAGTCAAAATTTAATATTATTATTCCAAATCATTCTTTCAAAAACTAACTCTCAGTAATTGACAAAAATTCTCACAATATTATATAACATATTATAAAAAATTTTTGTTTGCTGTATAATAATTTAAATTTATAATTTGAGAGAGTTTTTCCCATTAAACATAAATTTAACTCCATTTTCAAACTAATTTTTAGAACTTATTAGAGTGACTTTAAATTAAAATGGAAACTCCGACCATTTTTTTCTTTCTACATTTACATGATTCACAGAATCCCAATTACAGACAGAAGCTTCCTCACATGGTAAGAAGTGCATCTCTTCCACGTTTTTCTCATTATACCTCCCCGCATCCCAATTTGAAAAAGACCTTCTCTAATTTCCACATGGCACAAAGTGGGTGTCCCCCTGTTCCGTCTGGGAAAAGAAAAACTGCTCAATTCGCCGCTGCAGCTCTGATTTCCTCCTCTCCAGCACCAGGGCACCCTTTTTCCAATAAACCCATCAATTTGAGAAGCAAACAAAGAAAAAGCCGTGCGGCGGGAAGCTGCAGGAAAACAAATCGGCTTGTGTTGGAAAGAACTGCGGGCCGGAGAATCGCATTAGAACAGGCCGAGATAACACTAAATCCCTGTTTAATCCTGATTTACGCGCCTTAATCGAATTTCTCGGCGCTCCTTTTCCAAACACAAGCCAGCCGGGGTGCTACGCTGTGTTCTGGACAAAAATAGACAACAAAAAGTGTGTGCACGCCAGCCGCAGCACATAAGAGCCTGCAAGTGCCAGATAAGGTGCCCATGGCAAATCCTCTCAATAAATCGGTTCCATGCTCTTAACAATAAGAGTTATAATTTAAAATTAATATTGGGAGCAGAATTTTGGTTACCAATAAAAATTATATTTCTGGAAAGGAACACTTTCCTGACATATTCTAATTAAAATAAATTTTTTTTAGAAGTATTATTTGTGTTTCTCATATTAATTAAATAATAAGAAGCTGTAACAAAAATTTAATATTGAGCTGTTCAATAAACATTTTTTACAATACTCAAATTATTATCTTTAACAAAATAATTAAAATTTAATTTTCTTTTCATTTTGCAGTGTTTTGTAGAGTTAAGAAGAAAAAATCAGGCAAATTGAGTGACGGGTTAAATTAGCCCGGGGCTATAATAACTTAGCTTGGGCCAGCTCAGGCCTTTTTGGATTGCCCTTTTGGTAAATATAATAATTGTTAGATTTTTTTTATCAAAATAAAACTCATCATTTAAAACAAAGAAGCTAAATTTACAATATAAATTGTTCTTTGAGTCAAGGTGTTCTATTTTCAAAAGTGGATTTTGAAAGAGTTGGAAATTTCAGTCAACGACGATCGGCTCGTCAGCTCATGAATAAACATTTTCAACACCCAATAGAATTTTACGGCCTAGAAAATATTCGTTTAATGATGTTGTGTTGGCGCGCAGGAAAAAAACAGTTCAGCAGCAAAAAGAGAGCAGGAAAACCTCTCAAGAGACTCTCCATCTCATTAGCCGTGCTCCGAATAAATTCGAGGACCGCGACAGCTCGATTTACGGCATCTGTGTATGTGTACACGGACACGGCTAGAGTGGAAAAATCGTAAATTAATTCCAGCAGTGGGGATCGGGTTTTTACCTTTTTGATGGCCGTTACGAATGTCGTTCCGAGACCACCTAAGTGGCTGCCATATTTTCATTTCCATATTATTCCCAGGGGGCTCCCCGTGCGAGAGAGATATAACAATTTGTATTATAGTTTTCTGGATGGGCCGTGTGCCTTGCAAAAAAAAATACAATAATGAAACAGCGGCTGCCTAGAACATAACCGGGTGTTTTCCAACAGAATCGCGCGAGGGGTGCTACGGCGGCTGCTGCGTGTCTCACTGGAGCATCGCATATTTCACCTTTCGCTTTCCAGTCCAGTGCGGATGAAAAATGGAAACCTTTTCCGCTAATGTGCCCTGAAATGTCAAAAAGGTATTGTGGCGAGCAGCGTGTCTTTGAGGGGCCAATGAATTGAGTCTTCTCTCAAATGTTATAAAAACATCAGAGCGCGGTCTCATAAATTCTTTGAGCTGCCATTCGCAATATGAGCTCTCATGAAATTCATGTTTTTGTTGTATTTGCAGCTGGAGCATTTCTTGAAACTTGATAGATTCAAAATGTTTGTAAATGGAAATAAATGCTCATGAAACTCTAGATATTGATCAATAAAAATTGCATTATTAAAACTCATTCATAATGAAAGATTATTCAAAAGAAGATCTCAGCATATGTATAGGCACTCCAAGAATTGGTCATAAACGGGATTTGCTTGCATCAAAAAAGTTTTTTTATAATTAAAAGAAAACGCAGCCACATAATTACAATCAATTATCCAATTATCATCAGAAAAGTTAATATAAATATTTTTTTTTAATATAACAGTTGTAATACAAATAAAAAATATTATTTAGCAAATCAATGTGTTTTTAAATAAATATAATTATATTTATCATTTATGTTTAAGTTTTAAAATAATATTAAGTACTGTTAAAAATTTTGAATTGATGTTTTTAATATTTTAACCTTTTCTTTTATTCTTTTTAGTTTTCATATTTTAAGGCACAAGTGAAAAGTTCAAAAGTAAAATTATTAATATAACCAAGTGTCTGCTAAAGCTCACATTTTCAAAATCATTTGCACAAATGCACATAGAAAATGGCTTCTACATGCTTGATTAAATACAAATTTTATTTTAATTATTGATTCAAGTTCAGATGAAGTGCAACAATCTAGAAATATTTCAATATAAAATATTACATTATTATAATTTTTAATTATTACATTGGGCCCTGTTGCTTATTTAGGGTAATATAATAATCAATGAGATCGAATAAATGAATCCTTTATATACCTGGGCTTTTTAAATAAGAGGCTTTATTTGTAAAGAACTTATTTGTTGTGTCAAAAGATCTTTGAAGGCAGCATAACTTATTGTTCAAGGCCGCATTGTGTACATCGGTCTCTGCTCAATGGAGTGTTTTTCCCTAGTTTTATGTCACGCAATGGGATTTTTAGAAAGTGTCCTGACCAGGCGCGCGGGCATCAACCCTCTGGCTTTGTGCGCCTCAAAAGGGTTGTTTTCCGTGAAGCCGAATGAATTTCTGGTGTCGTCCAACTCTGGATTCACGCCACTTTTATGACCGCTTTGTCCTCCTCCCCCGATAAACAGCGCGACAAAAAGTCGAGTGATGCAACAATGAGCATAGAAAAGTAGAAAGTTGCCCAAAGGTATTTGTAAATTTCCCTCGACCAGCAAAGGGTTCAGTTTCAATTCGGGCCGTGCACAGTTCAAAAGTCTTTCCGTGAGTCACTGGAGACGCAGCCTTACTTGGCACACAAGGTAAAAACCAGTTTCATTAGCATAATATTGCAGAAGTACACACATGCATGAATTTATTGTAATTCTCAATTACGTATTCAAGTGCCGCGCTGCCGACGAGCAGATGAAATGCTCATTTATTTGAATAATATTTTTCTGGCCGAGAACCTGCTTGAAAAGGGAGAGATGCACGTTTTTGAAATGGTAGACGAGTCTCAAATTCAGTTTCCATTTCTCGTTTTTTACTATTTTTGGTCAAACGTGTAATAAGTTGAGACATCATTTTTTATTACGTCTAGTTCTCTGTGACAAACCGAAATGAAGTTATAAATTATTTAAGCAACGATTTTTATTTTCACTGTGGGAATCTCTTCTCGGCGAGAGAATCGCGTAGACGAATTAATCAATGGACGCCTGAGAAAAAAGCAATATCCCCGGAACTCTCCCTTCGGTGGCGCCTTTGTTTGTTATTTCCTCGCCCGCACCTTAAAAGACAATAAAACAAATAAAACTGTAGCTGGGCAACTATGAGTTTAATTTTCCAGACATTCTATTACGGCCCTCGGGGGAGCATACAAAAATAAATTCCATTTGCTGCTGCTGCTGGGGCCGAGCTCTCGCTTTTTGTGCGCGTCTCACAAACACACAAACGCGCACCAAAAACTTATCCTGCGCACAGCACTCCCTGCTCTATCAAATTGCACCGGCACGCGGGCATATTATTTTTATTGTGGTGCGGAATGGCAAAAAATTGCTCCTTGGAAAATATCATCGCCTCCCAATGTGGCGAGGGAAGAGGAGGTGCAAAAACGAAAATGAACTTTCAAGAAAGTTTTATGGTCATGGTGCTTGTTTGTTTTTGTTTTCGGTTGGAATTGAGACAATTTAACAAATATAGCAGAAAAAATAAAACTTTAGTTGACAACCAAAGATGGTGGATGATGGCTTATAATTATTAATATTATTAAATCAACC